GTGGTGGCCTCTAGTTTTGGAGATCTTCCCGCCCCCCACACATCTCCCCAGCTCTCCCAGGCTAGCTCTCGAGCTAAGGGTCAAAATGAGGACCTCTTCCTGTGGTCTGGACGGGAGAGAGGAGAGATCTCCGGTGGCTATCTCCTCCACTTGGTGGCCCCTGACGCGGAGTCACAGGGAGCTTCTGCTGTGCACAAGCTGCTGCTTCCCCAGCTCTCCCCAAGACCCGAGATAGACAGTGCTGCTTGCTGGCCTGTCACCCTCCCCAGCTGAGCCTCCCTGGGCACCCACCCGACCACCAAGCTCTCCATGGCACCTGACAGTGCCTCTGGGGACCTGGGTGACCCTTGCAGGCCTGGGACAGGGAGAGGGGTGTGGCCTGGAGGGCGGGAGGGAGCCAGGAGCTCAGGCCCCTATGCTGGGGCCCCTATGCTAGCCACCAGCTTCAGGCTCTCCCAGGCTTGCCACTACTGTGTTTAACTCCTTCCTTCCTGGGGTTAACGGGCTGAGGCCCCTGACCTCAGGCCCGGCTTCCACCATCCTGGGCCCCAAGTTCCCTGGCTGGGTTTGTAGGCCCAGGCTTTCCTTGGAAGTGAGCACAGACGTGCTCCCAACCCCCCCCCACCCCCTGCTCCCTCTCCCCCATCTCTGCGGCCTTTGTCTGCAGGCCCAGGGAGCAGCGGCAGCACCCTGGTGGCTCTCCTTTGGGCTGGAGGCGGCACTCCCTGCTCAGCTGCACTTCCTCTGTTAGCGCCCAGAGCTGGGCCCTGTGGAGCCAGCTCCGGGCTGGGGGCGCGTGGCTCCCCGGCCTGATTTTGTTTGGGTGGAGGTGTCACTTTCTGGAATTGTTGGGTGTCTCTACCAGCCGAGGGTCCCTGATCCCCACGAGCAAACGCCGCTCTCACTGCGTTCTTTTTCTCCCCGGATGTCCCCACACCCACCTAGACAAGTGTGGGAAGTGAGGGGACAACGGAGCTGCCGGAAAAGTCACCCTCCTCCAGCTTTGTCTTAAAGAAAAAGAAATAAAAGGGAGGCTGAATCAGCAGGCAGGCACCGACCTTTCGCAGGAGCGCCCCTGCCCTCCGCAGCCCTGCACGGGGTTTTATTTGCAATACTTGTGTCGCTATTATAAATCCACGTGTCTGGAAGCCGTCCTTCCTTCTGGTACTCTTCCAGGTCCCTCTTTGTGCAGACAGCCCGGGAAGTCTGGAGCTGGTTCCCGAACGCGGGTGGTTTGCGGCGCTCTCCAGCACCTGCCAGGCTGGGATATTCCAGGTTCCCGGGTCTGGGCCTCACTTGACGCTAAGGGGAAGCAAACGTCCAGCGGTGGCTCACCGGCTTGCGCACAGAGAAGCCGACCTTGAGTTCGGCGGCGAGGGCAGCGGCCCTTAGGGTCGGGCAGGACGGGGAGCGCAGCTGGCCGGGTGCAGGGCCTCGGGGCTGAGCGGCTGCAGGGCTGGCTAGCATATCGCGGACCGCAGGAGAGAGCTGCGAATGCCCACTCCCCCGCACCCCCTAAAAGCACAGCCGGGGCGGTGTCCCGCATCTGCAGGGGGCGGGGGCTGGGCCTCAAGCCCGTTTCCGAGCTTCCTGAAACAGCTTGTTGCGATGCTTGTGTGGTGAGATTTAGAATTCCCTCAACGTGGGCAGCTTCCGCCCCGATTCTCCTGCCCTCCTGGCTGGCCCTTTGTATGGCGCTCACTCTCAAGGGGCACTCTTTGGGGGAATTAATGTCATGTTTGGGTCGGCTTTGAGTGGCCTGATACTTTAATTCTTTCTCTCCATATTCTTTTCTTTTTGCCCTCGTCTTCCTCCTGCCCCACCCCCCTCCGCCCCGCCGCTCCCCGCGTGCAGGCCAGTAACTTGGAAATCGCCTTCTCCCTCGGACCCGCCTGACTCTGTAGGCTGGAGACCTGGTGACCCCAGGCTGCTGCCAACAGACAGGCTTGGTTTGCCTGGAGATAAGGTGCTGCTTGGCGGGGCTGCTGTTGCAGCCGCGAATATGGGTCTGGGTTGCAGGAAAGAGCACAGCAGAGGCCCACCGCCCACTGTGGGCTTACTTAAGGCTAAGGCAATCAGAGGCAAAGTTTCCCAAGAAATTAAAAAATATTTTCCAGGAGATGGCCTAATTGATTTTTTTATGGGACAGGTGGAGAAATTAACCTGGGGTGGCTTTACAGGAAGCGAACCAGCCCTGGGCCTTCCCACTGCTCCCTCTGAGTTGTGGAGACCCAAAGTCATTTGGACATTCCCTGCCTGGTGATGATTTGGGTTCTCAGAGTTGCAGGAAGATGTCCCAGAAAACCACAAACACAAGTCAATAGGGCGTTCCCCAAAACCTCACCAGCTCCATTTTCCTAGGGACGGGCCGACTGTGAGGTTTGATTTTTTGAGACCCAGGGAGGATCCCTGGCCGGTATGAACCTGGCAAGAAAATTTGGCAAGGACCCCTCCAATAGGAGGAAAACCTGGGGGCGGGCAGTAGATATGAGTCTCCCCAAGTGAGAATTGCTTTCAACTTCCCCATCTGCCTGCTGAATCTACCCACCTTCAGTCCCCTTTTAGTGGCCAGGTGACCCAGCCCAGCACCTCCTCCTCTCCCCCATCTGGGCCCCCCTCTTAATTTCCCTGGGAGCAGAACCTTGTAATTGCTGTTTGTTGCATCCCCGCCAGCCCCCCGTCCCCCAGCGCCGGCCTGAACCCTGGAACCTGTAGTGAGCAGACAGAGCTGGGCTGGGGAGAGGATAGGACACGGCGCGATGGCTGGAGAGCTGAGCCAGGTCAGGGGGAAGGCTTCAACCCTCAGGGTGGCTTGGCCATCACACTCCCGGGAGGGCTGCTTGCCCAGACCTTATCCCGCCTTGCCTGGCTGTGTCCCACTGACACTCCTGGGCCTCGAGCTGCTCTTCAGTGGGCCTTAGCTGCTGAGCACCCCGGAGCTGCCTGGGCTGGCCAGAGCTAGGGTGTCCCCGCTCTCCCTCTTCTCCTCCTCCCCATCCCTCTTTCCACTGAGGTAGTTTTATTGTGTCAGTGCTCCCAAACCCTTGGAGCTGTCCCTTTGGAGCCTTCCGGAAGTTTGCAAATTTCCATAAAAAAATATTTTAAATGATAGGCAAGGTTAGGGAAACAAGGGTATTGGGTGGGTGTCTGCAGCTAGGGGAAGGAGAGAAGAGCAAATAGGAAGGAGCCTAAGGGAGGAGGGGGAAGAGAAGAGGAAACAGAAGTTCAAGTTGGACATCTGACAGCCACTGGAAAGGAAGTTTAGGAGGAGACAGGGGGAAAAGGGGAGGAGTGGGGAGAAACAAACTGGGGCCATTACCCTTCCACCCCCTTCTACATGGCCCCTGCTCTCCTGGGGAACTAGTTTAAAGGATTCTAGGACAAAGAAAATATGGTGAAAGGCCCTCAGTGGCCGCTCAGCGGGGGTAGAGATGTGGGGTGGGGGTGGTTGGAGGGTTATCTGAGAAACAGGGTGTGGCGTGGGGAAGGGGGTCGCTCTGGGGTGTTTTCTCTCCGGATGGTTTTGAAGGTTTGGCCGAACCGTCAGCCTGCCTCTCCTTTCCCAGACAGAAGATGCGTTATCACCCGCCATGGTCCTTTATTTCTCTTTCCCCGCACGGAGCCTCCCGTCCTACTCCCGCGCTCCGTGGGATCTACACGCACGTTGCATGAGGATCTGTGTTCCCGGGTGGAATGCCGCCGTATGCACGCGCCTCCCTGCTCAGGCACACGCGCACACACGCACACTTACAATGAGCGTCTACAGGAGGAGGGTCCCGCGCGCCAGCTCTGCGTTTAAGACAGGAATCTGCCAGGCTAGCAAAGTCAAGAGTAAGTGACAATTTCCCTCTCCACCAGCAAGGAAAGGAGACTACAAAAGTCCCTTTGTACCTCGGCAGCTCATTTAATATTATTTATGCATTTTTGTGCAAGGAATTGTGGGATTTTTCCCCACGGTAAACAATATGGAAATGTCAAAAATCGCAGTCTTCCAGCGCGTGTCCACGGACGCACACCAGGGTGACCTGACGGGGCTGTGGCGGGGGCTCCTCGGGTCCCCGAACCGAGAGGCGGCGGCGAGAGCGCGAGCGAGCGCAGGAAACACGGTCGCGGGCTCGCTGGGGCCGGGGCTCCCAAACGCGGAGCCCGAGGACGCGGCCGCTTTAAGGGGGGGAGGGGCGGCGCGGCGGGGGAGGGGCGGCGAGCGGCTCCTGTCACCGAGCGGCCGCCGGCGCGTCACGTGGGCGCGCCGCGCCGCGGCCATTGGCCCGAGGCACGTGTCCAGGAGCCCGGCCCGCGACGTCACTCGAGGGGGCTCTGTTAAAAATAAGAACAAAAATCCAGAGTGAAAGTGTCTCAGGTCGCGCCAAGTGGCCTGGAGAGCGCCCGAGCCCGCGCGGAGGCCGAGGCGGCGAGGGCGCGCAGACCGCCCGGCCCGGCCCGCGCCTCCCGCCGCTCACCCATGCGCCTCGGGCCGCGGGGCTCGGCGGGGCTCGGCGGGGGCGCGGCCGCACGCCGGTGGGGCGCCCGGGCCCGCAGCGGGGCGGCGGCCGAGCGCAGCGCGGGCCCGCGGGCCTCCATG